TTCAAGAGTTTATTGATATTGCTCCAATATATCCATGGCATGAGCTCCACAGGCGTAGTACCTGTCACCCAACCACAGCCACCCCTGGGAAATATTTATACAAGAAACACGAATGCAATCCCATGCCCACTAGGGTGCTGGTATTGCAAATCAGCGCCCCTAGAGGGCTGGACCTCCTGCTCATGCACTTCCCTCCCAGAAAGACAACGTCCAAGCTTGTGGGTTGCAGGCTGAGGCCCTGCTGGAAAGAAGATGTTCTATGGCGCCAGGCATGGTTCTTGTCCACAGGATCTAGCCGTAGCCATGACAACCACAAAAAAAGTGCTTTGGGTATGATTGATTACTCCTTGTCATTATTATATATCTCTTTGTTCTGCCTTTTGCTGTATCATCATCTCACAGTTGAGAGTTGTTATTATCTGTGTGTTAGATTGTTTTTCCTTAATAGCAAAAGGTCAGGCTTGAAGCTCAGTTCATTGTTGTTCTGAGTAAAGAAATAAAATATATGCAAACATTTCCATGCTCATCACACAGTCTAAAATGCTCTGGAGTCTGGGAGACATTGGTAACCGGGCTCACGTCTAAGGAACCCCCAGGTAAGGAAGACAGGGTGGGGGACACTGCACTTCCCTGAATGACACCAAGTTCAAGGCACTGCTCTAGAAGCAGCCCTGAGGAGGGCTTATGCATGCCAAGTGGCTGTTTTGGCTTTTCTTTCTTTCTCAGTTCCCTTTTTCACATACGAAACACTGTGTATTCAGTTCATTGAAGAAAGTCAAATTATGAATATACAGATGTACAGATAGCTCTATAAAGTTATAAAAACATACGGCAAGGGCCGGGAAGGTGACTCAGTGGCAGAGCGCTTGCCTTGTATGCATGAGGCCTTGGGTTCAATTCCTCAGCACCACATAGAAAAAGTCAGAAATGGCGCTGGGGTTCAAGTGGTAGAGCGTGAGACTTGAGCTGAAGAGCTGAGGGACAGCACCCAGGCCCAGAGTTCAGGCCCCACGACCAACAAAAAAATCAAACCAAATTAAACAAAAATGTACGACAGACAGAGGTGTTTGCTGGTGAGAGCTGGGAACCAACGGCCTCGCGTCAGAGAAGCGAGGGTCTGCGGGGCGCTGGGAGCAGGGCAGGACCTCAGCACGTGACTTCATGTCCAAGTGAAGTCTTACAGAACCTCTAACAGAAAGCCACCCAGGGCCAAGACAGTTAACCTGTGCCCCCAGCCTCATGAGCAATTTGGTGTGAAATGAGCAAGAAGCAGGAAGAGAGCGCCTTATCCAGGATAATCCATGGCCCGATCACGGTGCAGTCAGATCAACGGAGCATTGCTTCCAGACAACTCTGAACACCTGGGAAGGGTTTCTCCCGCACAAAACCTCTCCTTGTAACACCAGGTACAACACCTGGTTGTACCTTCGAGACTAGCAGCTTGGCGAGAAAAGACCATCCTTAAAAAGAGACCTTGAACATACACAACCCAATGCAAAAACCTGGGTGAATGGGAGAACCTCTGCAGATAGCTGCTGAACGAGACTGCTGTGATGCAGTATGGAAGGCATAGTGCTGACATCTTGCTTCCACAGAAGGGTACGACTGGCTTGTGTGTGACTTAGCACATCCATTCTTAAGGACACAGACATAGTTTAACATGGTAACAGTGGCCATAAGAACGTTTAAGGTCACAAAGCATTATTGAACTGCTTTTCTGCTAGACCAGTTTTCCCTTCTACAATTTGTGTTCTCAAGAGTTTTGAAAATCATCCTGCAAAAGAGTGTTTATAAATTCAGCTGGCCAATCTATAAAAACAAATAATGAAAAGAACGGAGTTACTTCATTAGGAAAAGGGATGATCAGAGAATGGTTCTAAATTCATATAATCTAGTAGAATAGCCTCATCGTTTTGTACTAATCAGGTAAATAAGGAATAGAATAAGCTTTTAAACTGGTTACCCACAGGGCAATTTAATGCAATACAGAATTCTAAACTGGCTCTCCTACTCAAAAGGAAAAAAAAAAATGATTTTTAATTAAGGGCCTTACTGGAACAACACACAACACTAAAATACAGATGGCAAAGCATTAAACCCAAGTTAAATTGGCTAAAGTTGTTCTCAGAGACTATTCTTGTTAGAAAATACATATTCAGTTATTGAGGCATAAAGGATTATAAAATGATTTGGAGAAATTATTTTGTGCATGTATGTTCATGTACATGTACACAATATACACTATAGATCACCATATTAAATACATGAACTGCTCTGTAATAACTTATTGTATGAAATACATTACGTGGCTTTAGAAACTGAGCAAATGATAAAGAGCAGAGGGTAAACAGGTCAACCTGGGAACAGGTCTAGGACGTTCTTTATAGTATGCTTGCAATTCGTGTGCACAATAGAATTACGTGTAGGTGAAAAGCTTTGTGGGGGCCATGTTCGAGAGGAGCGAAGGGTCTGACGCTATCTCTGAGCCAGGTTTCCCAGGTTTCCCACCAGGATTGTCTTACCTAGGCCTGAACAGCCTCCACACCCAGGAGGCTATTTGCCTCAGCCTGGCTTTTCTCACAGTTTCTGACAACTCACATCAGTCAGAAAAGGAAGAAAAACAAATTGTGCCATTTTTTTTTTTTTTTTTTTAATGTTGGTTGTGGGGCCTTCACTCTGGGCCTGGGCGCTGTCCCTCAGCTCCTCAGCTCAAGGCTAGTCCTCTACCACTTGAGCCACCATGCCCCTTCCAGCTTTTTCTGCTTATGTGGTACTGAGGAATCGAACCCAGGGCCTCATGCATGCAAGGCAAGCACTCTACCACTAAGCCACCTTCCCAGCCAGGTGCCATTTCTTTTGTTACAAAAGAAGTATTGTAGGTGGCATGAAAGTCCAGAAAACTCATAAGGAAGGAAAACACCCATACCCGTCACATCACTGAAAAATAATTGTCATTTTGTCATGTTTCCTTTCAACTGTTATTGTAAAATTTAAAAAAAAACTTGGGTGGTATTACAGAAACTGTAGCCTTTTTCTTTGACATAATAAAAGACAATAACCTCGTGAAATCTTCCATGCCGACATAAATATCCCATCATACAGATAGGTCTTAAGTCACCTAGCAATTTCTCGAAATATTGACCACTATTTCCAGTGTTACACACAATGCGGAGTTAAAAATTTCAGGCCTTTGTGCTTCTACATTTTTAACAGTATTACTGTCTGCATTAAATGGAATTGCAAGGCCAAATGGTATTAGCATTTTTTTTTCAGTCTTGGGGCTTGAACTCTGGGCCTGGACACTATCTCTGAGCTCTTCAGCTCAAGGCTAGCACTCTACCCCTTGAGTCACAGTGCCACTTCTGGTTTTCTGGTGGTTAATTGGAGATAAGAGTCTCAGGACTTTCCTGCCTGGGCTGGCTTTGAACCACTGCGATTCTCAGATCTCAGCTTCCTGAACAGCTAGGATTACAGGCGTGAGCCACAGGTGCCCAGCTGGTATTAGCTTTCTTAAATCACCATCAAAAGGCCAAACATTTTAGAAAAGAATACACCTTTAGACTTAAAGGGAAAGGACTTACTTGAATGGGATTACTGAAAGAGGGCTGGAATTCCATTTAGGATTTAAAGAAAAGGAAAGTTACTATCATGAATGTAAACTATAGTCTTCAGGTCAAACTTAGCTCTGAGACAAGTAAGTTCTGTGAGCTAACTTTTGTCTTTAAAAGAGGAAAAGAACAAAATATTCCAGCCTGTATTAAAGACATACTGGCTATTAAATAAAAGATGAAGGGCCTCTGCCTCTGATGACAAATACACACTCTCCTGTCACCCAGGGGAAACTCAGATTACCCTCAGGGTAGAAAATGAGATTCTAAATATTGAAGTAGAAAAATTTTTTTAAAGTATGTATGTGGAAAGTGATAGGAACTGAAAACCAAGGTTCCAATTAAAATTTTGCAAAAAAGCCTGTGTTTACAAGTTGCCCTTGCTCTATTTTCTTAGAAAAAGGAAGGGCCCCAACAGTCAGGAGATACGGTGTCTAGTCCCATCTGTCCTGAACAAACAACCAGACTCTTGTTTGGGTCAAACCTATTCGAATTCAATTTCCTCACTTGTTAAGTAACACAGTCCAACCAAGTCCCTAAGGGTAACTCTCGAGGCTCTCATTGTACAACATTCTCCAGTTTTATAGGTGGCAGGAAGAGTGAGAGAAGTTCCATCTGAATGTCTCAGGCTTAATGGAATGAGGAAAACCTTTTCTCTAACCTGACAGACCCAGCCTGTGGACAGCTCCCCCCATGCCCTGCCCCAGACCGGGCTAGGAGAGCCCCCCTTGAGCACTGAGCCAAAAGATGCCAAATCAGGAGACAACAAGGACAACTGCACCCCATGTTCACTGCTGCACCGTTCACCACAGCCGAGTTACAAAACAGCCCAGATGGACAATGCGATCTTGTTTTAAGGTGATGTGTGTGTGGACCTGAAACAATCATGTTAAGTATTTCAGGCTCACAAACACAAAGGACACATTTTCTCTGGTGTGGAAGTTAGATCTAAAGTATGAATGTATACGTAAACAAGATAAACAGGGTCATATGTGCATACACACAAACATATTAGCTGAAGTATGACATATGCAAGAGAGGAATCCAACGATGTAGCGCCCCTGAACAACTATCTTGCAGATGGGCAAAATGAGTACCGAGCTGGGACAGGTACTGTCACTGGAGTCAGGGAGTTGTGAGGCCAAGGGGCGGGGAAGGAGGAGTGGAAAGAGGAAGAAGGGTGGGAAAAGTGCAGATAATGGTCAATGTACACATGTGAACATGGAACTAGGTAAACTGGGGTGTGGGGAGGGAGACAGACGGAGAAGAATGCTGAAAGGGCTGACATCAGCCAAGGTGCCTGGTCCTCAACAGCTGGGATGCTGGATGGAAACCTCTTTGTACAACCACTCAGGGACGGGAGGTCCAGGAGCAAGAAGGGATAGGACTCACCGTGGCCGTTGCAGTAATAGATCCACTTCTCCCGGTTCTGGGTTGGAGTCACAGATTTCTTCAGCCCGGCCTTTTCCACAATGGCACTGGGGTCCTGCCGGGGCCCCTTTTTCAGAGTCCTGGAGCTTTTCCGGACACTGCACACCACGATCACCACGAGCACCAGCAGCAGGAAAAGCACGATCATCCAGGGCAGGTGCTCGTTGATGTCAAAGTGCCTGTGGAGGTTCTGCCTGGGGTGGCCCCTCGCGGGGCCCTTGATGGGAGTGCTGGACTTCTCCCCCCCGGTGGCCTCCATGGACGGCAACAGCTTCAGAATGTGTCTGTGGTGGGGGCCTTGCTGACGAGTGACCACCTGAAGGGCAGGGAGGGTCTGGTTCCCGCCTTCCTCCCTGCTGGCTGAGCTCCTGTTGTCAGGGACTGTCCCTTCCTGGATGCCACTTGGTACCTTTGGTCTAACGGAGGCAGAAGAGTTGGAGTCTGTTGAGTTCATGCCTAGAAAAAAAGAGTAAGGAGGAAGGGAGAGCTTTTCCATATTGGGGTCTATATATTCCTTACCCTTCCGGGTCATCGCCAGACTGAGCTGGATAAGGAAGAGATGCTGGCTGGAGAGTAACTGTAAGTCGTATTGCACATTTTCTACTTTTTACATAAAGTAATATCTGAATAGCTCAACTCACTTTTGTATAGCCAAAACAAGTTTACCCCCAAAAGATCTGAGCTTCCTGGCATATTCTGCTATACAGAGGTATAGTTTAGCACTCCAATTAATTGCTTTGAGTATCCAGAGAATGAGCGCAAGTTTAATTCCTGTTTACTCTCTTCTTTCTCCCCTTTAGATCATTTCATGATGCCATAGTAAATGTGAGCATGTGGCTATGCTAAAGGACTCAAATGGTCAGTGAATAAAAGAAGATAGACATTCCTTAGTAGCCATTATCAACAGATTAAGTAAAAATGGGGCTGGCTTTCCCCATGCAGTCTTCACTAAGGAGTGTGAGAGACCCCAGATACAGGGGTCTACGTCAGCCCGTGAGAAAGTCTAGAGTGGGCCACAGGAGCTCTTTGGACCTGTCACTTCATTTCAAAATGGTAGCCAAGAGAAGGCTCCCCCTGTAGGTGGAAAGCCAAGTCACCTGACAGGAGAGAGCACGAGGTAACACAACTCAAGGTGGTTACCGTCTCAGGAAAATTATATTCACACAAAAGAATGCAAAAAGGCTCAATTTTATATTCTGCTGGAGGATCAAGTGGAATTTCAGGAAAACTCAGATGCTTAAAAAAGAATGCAGTCAAGATCATTAGAAAAACATGAAGAATTCATCTCCTGATCTGGGTACAATGGAACCTATTTGCTGTTGCCTGAAACTTCTAATTTTCCCTCCCATTCTTGGCCCTAGCTTGCATTAACCATTCTTCTCTCCCTTCTGAATGTAATGGCATTCTTGCTCCTCACTACGTCCTGCTAGGATTGTGTCTAGGTGGAAAACCTTTTCATCTGGAAGGAACCTTAGACATTTAAATTGCTTACAATTTAAACAAGACCTGAAGATGTCAAGTCACAGATATAAGTCAAACACTGTCCCTCTCTCTGTTCTTATTTTCTAGCTTGATTGTAACCTAGGTTTTAAGTGTTTAACCTCTCCTAATTAAAAAAGAAAAACACTTGTCGGAGTTTAAATCTTGCTAGTTAAGTCCAAAGAGCCAGATTTAATTAGCAGCAGAAAAGAGCCGCCTTCTCTAACGTCTGACTTTGGGAAGCACAAAGTGAGAGAGCATCCCTGGTGCCTCTGTGGACGCGAGGCCTGCTACACGCAAGTCATCCACGAAGCTGCATTACCTTTGGGCGCGTACGTGGAGGAAATGACTTCATGGGAAGCCCCATGCCCCGAGCGTGAAAAGATGGCTGTGTCAGGAGAGGGGGGGGCTGGGCTGGAGAAGGACGGGCGTGGGCCACAGACGTTGTCTGCCTCCTTGGTCCCCGGCTTGACCACCACCAGGTTCTGACTCAGGCAGTCTGTGTGTGCTTTACATTTCATCACGGTGGAAGGCACATCGGAGAAGGTACCCCGGGCACACTGCTTACACCGCACATCCTCATTCTCTGTCCCTTTCTTCCGCACGCCCCAACCCACAGGACACACGGTGTGGGGGGCGCAGGTGCCATTCGATTGGAACATGCCGGGTGGGCAAGTGCATTCTCGGTCAGTCAAGGCAGCACAAGGTAATTTCTCAACCATCAGCCGTGGGCATGGCTGGCTACAGTCATGGCATTTCTCGATGCCATTCTCATGCCTGGTAAAAGTCCCCGGAGGACAACTGGTGCACACACGCAGGCTCGTGTTGGTACAATGCTCGGAGACATAGGTTCCTGCTGGACACTTGTCACAGGTTAGCACCTGGCCCGTGGCACGGTCAACATGGCGGTATGTGCCTATGAGATTTGGGGCTTTCTGCTCTGGTTGAGCTGTGATGGTGCTAAGGGATCCAAGCTGAAAGAAAGAGAACAGGTGGAGGGACAAAAACCACAAGTTATTAGGCGGTAACACAAAAGGACCAACAATTCCCACCCCTATTAAATCACCCCTATTAAACATCTGGCCAGCGCCACATCTGCTCAACACAAATGCTAGCATCCGTGAGTAGAGTAGGAGAGAAAGCAAGACTCAATTGTTCCCTTAGCATCTGACCTACCAGATGTGAGCCTTAGTTTTAGTTTTCCCTCTGCAAACTGCTGCTGACAATGACTGTCAAAGTGATTCTAAAAATCAGTGGAGAGCCAGATGGCATCAGCGGCTTACACCTGTCATCCTAGCTACTCAGGAGGCTGAGGTCTGAGGATCAAGATTCAAAGTCACCCTGGGCAGGAAAGCCCATGAGACTCTTATCTCCAATTAAACACCAAACAAGGCAGAAATGGAGCTGTGGCTCAAGTGGTAAAGCACTAGCCTTGAGCAAAAAAAGAGAGCTCAAGTGAATGAAAGCACTTTCTAGCCAGTATTAAAACTGCTGACCTGGGCATGGGGACACACAGCTGTAATCATAGCACTCAGACGGTAGGGACAGGAGAGCAATGAGTTCAAGGCTAGCCTGATTATACACTGCAACTTGTCTCAAAACAAAGGAGAGAGGAAAGATGGGCAAGTGCAATCATAATAACTGATGTACCTATGTGCAAATCAGGTAAACTGAGAGGTGGGTGGGGTTGGGACAAATTGAGGAGAACGATGGAAGGGGTGGCATTAAATACACTGTGCTCGCAAACTGACGTGCTGAACTGAAACCTCTCACACAGCAACTCGAAGCTAATGTAACAAACAAGAATTAAAACACAAAACCACAAATGCAGCTCAGTGGTACTGTGTTTAACTTAGTGTGCAAACGTTCTGCAAAAAGTAAATTTTAAAAAGTGCTAGGTGAAAATCAAAACCCCAATACATGGAGAGTTGTTGCCTTCCGCTGCCCTCTGGCAGACGCGTCATTCCTTCATACAAAAACAAAGCACCTGAGAATAAGCATGGCTGCCTACTTGGGGCTTCACCTACAGACGGAACATGACTTTCTTTTTAAAAGTTTCTTCTATGTGAAGATAGTCTTTCATCTTGGTGCTGTCTCTGAGCCTTTGTGCTCAAGATTAGCTTCTACCACTTAAGCCACAGCTCCACTTCTGGCTTTTGGGTGGTTAAATGGAGGCAAGAGTCTCATGGACTTGCTGTGGGGATTGGCTTCAAACTGTGATCCTCAGATCTCAGACTCCAGGTTCCTGAGTAGCTAGGATTCCAGGCATGCCTGTAACCGGTGCCTAGCTTAGTCTTTTATTGTTTTGTTCCTAAGGTGAAGGGTTTTCAAACTGAACTCAGAAGAGCACTAGACTCAGTTCATATGTCTGCCAAGGAGTGTAAGGTAGATGCTTAGCGCCCCACCCACCCATCTCTACCAAAACCCAAGCTGCCCTTCTTTGTCAAATCTAATCAGTTCTCTAGGAGTTCACCTGAAGCCTTCCAATCCCTGAGCTAGGGTCCCCTATGAGCTCCCATCCAGCTCCACCTCAGCAGCTCACCGCCCTGGGCTCCCCAGAGGTACCACTCCCCTGGAGGTGCATGGGCGGGGAGGAAGGCATCTAAGAAAGACTGTTTGCCTTAGACCTTTCCCCACTAGCCTGGTCACGATTTTTGGTTTCTAACAAAATTAAAACCCTCATTTCCAAACATGATTCTTAGATTAATGTACTGAGTAAGGGAGATAAAGGGTATTCAAATTTAAATTAGCAGGGTCTCTGTAGGATGTGAAACCAACCAATGGGCAAACACTGGAAAAGGCAGACGCAGTCACTGAACAGAACAAGAGAATGGGCACCCAAAGCCTGGGAATGGGCCCTACTAATCCAGATCCACTCAGAGGTTCATCAAAGCCTCCGGCACCAGATGCAGAACTGAAATTCCCTGGGAAAAGAGTCTTAAACTTCCTATCCCCAGTCTCACCCCCTGAGGTCACTGTGAGGCTCACAGATCAGGAATAATGTGCTTTGTCTTTAGCTCTACAGTTTGTTCTGTTTTTAAGCTTTCTGTGTGATGCTGATGCCCAACTACATTTTGGACTCCCTGAATTAAGTGTAATGTATATATATATATATATATATATATATATATATATATATATATATACACACATATATGTAAAATATATGTATATAATATTTAATATACGTTTGTATGTAACATATATATTACATTTGATATATTTCCCCCCCTTTAGTTCTAAGATTCTGAGTCGTATTTTTAACACAACCCAATCCTATAGTCATTCCCTTGTCTCTTACCCAATCTGGCACATCTAATGGTCTTCATATTTCTTATCAGTATTTTTAAAACAAAAATAAATGTTCCTGAGCTTCTTATAATCAGGAATACAGAAAATCCCTTTGCATAACTACTTAAAGATAGTAAAATAAAATTTGGTAATTAAAAAGAGAAATATAGAATAAAAGTATTTAAGCCTGCTCAAGTCCATTCATCTCCAGAGACTGGCTCAGTTAATTTTCCTGATAATCTGAACACATGTTCTTTAAATTAGCTATGTCTGTTGTTTTTGGTTTTGTTTTAACAAGTTTTACCTATGGGCCAGGCTTTACACGTGATTTGCTTCCATTCAATTTCTTTTTTCTTTTTCTTTTTTTTGGCAACCATGGGGCCTGAACTCTGAGCCTGGGCGCTGTCCCTCAGCTCTTTAGCTCAAGGCAAGCGCTCTACCACTTGAGCCATCGAACTTCCGGCTTTTTCTGCTTAGGTGGTGCTGAGACCTCAAACCCAGGGCCTCATGCATGCAAGGCAAGCGCTCTACCACTGAGCCACCTTCCCAGCCCCTCCACTCAACTTCTTAGTGTTCCATCATTGAATTCTTTTTGTACTGGAATACACTGACCATTTCCTTCTTAACAGTCAAGTTCTCAGGACTGTCTCTAACAGAGGCCATAAAGATTGCCTCTTGTCCCTGTCCATGTATCTATTTTTCTATCTTCTCTTTCTCCTTTTCTTTCTCATCCCCAACCTTTTCTTTCCTTCTCATTTCAAATACCAAATACAATCACATGGCTCTGTCTTTTGACAAGTACTTTCTTCCACATCAAAAGAAGTCTCGATGCATAAGAACTCGTAACTTGGAAACTCTATTCATCTTCTCTTCCCTATTCACTAGAATCTACTATATATGTATTTTCATATGTGGAAACCTAGAGTAGAAAGAATACAGGGGGGAGGAGGGAGACTATTCGATGAGAGAACTTATATTTTTGTCTAAACTCTGTCTTAAAAAAAAAAAAAATCAGCCTGACCTCATTTTATTTGCTCGCCAAAACAGCAGGTTGTATTAGCTAGGGCTGTCTTCAATTCCATCCTACAAAGTGCTGTGCTTACTTACCTACGGGCTCTACCTTCTTAGCAAACCTTTCTGATTGTTCCTAGACATTCGGATTCCAAACAGATGAGCCACCTCTTCATCCCATTTCCTGTTCCTGGCCATCATAGCGGAAATTAATTACAGACTGTTTTGTAATGTGTGCTGATGACCCACAAATGTATATACTTAGGTTGCTGTAATGACTTCAAGCAGCTCAAGGCCAGGGACAGCCATGTCCCTTGCTTGTTGAACCATCTCAATAATGAAGATTGTGGAAATAATTAGCAAAACATCCTCTGAGCCGGAGGGCAGCAAGGGAAATCCAACACGGCAATTCCTCTTATAAACAAGTTTACTGGAATCCAGACATCATTTACGTAGGTGTTGCCTATGGCTGCTTTCATGATGCAGTAAGAACACCAGGCAGCGACAAGGGACCACGTGACCCACAGTCTCTCAACAATCTGACTTTTTATATATTATATACTAGACACACACACACACACACACACACACACACAAAACACTACACTACACTTGACCAGAACAGACAAAAGAAATACCAAATACAAAGACCAACTGAGTCACAGAGACCCTTAGAGCTTCCCTTAGCACCTGCCATGGGTGCTGAGGTCTCTTCTCTCCACCCACTCCAACTCACACACCAATTCTGATCCTCTCCAATGACCTGGGAGCTTTTGTGCTCAGGGCTAACACTCTACCATGTGAGCCACAGCTCCACTTTCAGTTTTGTTTTGTTTTTTGTTGGTTCTCATAGACTTTCCTGCCTGGGCTGGCTTTGAACTGAAACTCTCAGATCTCAGCTTCCTAAGTAGCTGGGATTACAAGTGTGAGCCACCAGCATCCAGTTTTTGGTGTTGTTTTAAAGAAAGGCAGCTACAGTGAAGACTGTAATGCAACCAAATTGTTCCTGCTACAGACAATCAAAACATGCTGCAGATGACCAGAAGGCAAAGGCTGCGTACCCTTACAATCTGAGCAGCACATTAAATGTCTAATATTAAGGCACTGATATTTGGAATTCTTCAGATATGAGAGGAGGAAAAAAAGAAAACAGGAACAAAATTGCTTCAAGGACAAAGCTTCCGCTTCCACAACTCACAGCAGAACAGTTCCAGTTATGTTATATAAACCTGGTCAGCTCTGATTTCCTATCATCCTCTCTGAGTTGAAAAAAAAAAAATCTGCTGTTGCCAGGGCAAAAGCAAAGACTTAAAAAAAAAAAAAAAAGCTGGTGAATATGGAGAATGCCAGGGAGAGAATACGCTGACTGCAGGGCCAGAGGGAGGGGAGCTCAGGAGATGCCGAGGAGGGGGGTGGAAGGGGGGGTCCGGGGGGGGGACGCCATCAAGCACAGCGATGCTGCAATGCAGCGGCCATGTGCCATCTGCACGCTGTGCCCACTGCAGAACGTCACCTTCCTCCAGCACAACAGTGATTTCTTCCTTTTGTGTGTGTGCCAAGACCGGAGCTTGAACTTGGGGCCTGAGCACTGTCCCTTAGCCTTTTTGCTGAAGGCTGGCACTCTACCACTTGCACCACACCTCCACAACCATGAGGTAAGTCTGGTGGACTC